CCCCAAGTGGGCATTTGAAGGCATAGACGACGTTAGTCTCTTTTAAAGCGTTCTGTTTTGTGTCTGGAGAGTTTCTCATGAGTAGGCTGGCCGTTTTTCTGGTTTTATAGTAAATCGTCAGTTGTATCCTCTGATTTTTGTCTGTAGGGATAACGTTTCTATTAACAATATCTTTCAGGACCCTTTCCTCCGTTTTATGAGCTGTGGAAAAGAAGTTCCTGTAAAATAGTCTAATAGGGGGTATAGGTGTTGTGTTAGTTGTCTCTTCAGAGGTTGCATGGCTTTTCACTTTCCTTCTTATGATGTCTTCGACGAAACCATTGGAGAAGCCGTTATTGACTAGGACCTGCCTTACCCTACAGAGTTCTTCGTCGACTTGCTTCCATTCTGAGCTGTGGCTGAGAGCACGGTCGACATATGTGTTAACAACACTCCTCTTGTACCTGTCTGGGCAGTCGTTGTTGGCATTTAGGCACATTCCTATGTTTGTTTCCTTAGTGTAGACTGCAGTGTGGAAACCTCCGCCCTTTTCCAAAAAAGACGAATATCTGGCGAAAATGAACATCATACTCTCTGACCAAACTAAGTTCCAAAGGGTAACGAAGGACACTACAGCCGAATTAAAAGCAAAGGTCAACAAACTGATCGAAACTGTGAACGCCAAGAAATCCGGACTCCACCTGCCAAAGATCATTGGGGAATATAAACCTGGATATGCGTATGGAAATGTCAAGACGCACAAGCCTGGAAACCCACTTCGGCCAATCATTAGCCAGATACCCACACCCACGTACAGACTGGCGAAGCGACTCAACGGCCTGCTGACTCCTTATGTTCCTTGTGCCTTCAGCCTGAAGTCTCCAAAGGAATTTGTTGACTTACTGCGGGGCACACGGGCCACAGGAATAAGAGCCTCGTTGGACGTAGAATCGCTGTTTACCAACGTACCTGTGGACGAGACAATCGGAATGATAGCCGACAGAGTGTATCGTGATCCAGCCTGTACTCCTCTTGACATGCCAGAAAGTATTCTGAGGAAACTACTCCAAGCTTGTACTAAAGAGGCACCCTTCTTGAGCCCGGATGGGCACATGTATAAGCAAGTAGATGGGGTCGCCATGGGTTCTCCCCTAGGTGTCCTGTTTGCAAACTTCTACATGGGTACCATCGAGCAAAAAGTCTTAGTCGACATGAACTTGAAACCGGCCATATACTGCAGGTATGTTGACGACATTTTTACATAGGTACCTGATGTCAGATATCTGCAGGAGCTGAAGGAGGCATTTGAGCAGAGTTCCGTGCTGCGTTTCACTTACGAGATGGAAAAGGATGGGAAGCTGCCCTTTCTAGATGTAACAGTCATGGAAAAGGGCGGAGGTTTCCACACTGCAGTCTACACTAAGGAAACAAACATAGGAATGTGCCTAAATGCCAACAGCGACTGCCCAGACAGGTACAAGAGGAGTGTTGTTAACGCATATGTCGACCGTGCTCTCAGCCACAGCTCAGAATGGAAGCAAGTCGACGAAGAACTCTGTAGGGTAAGGCAGGTCCTAGTCAATAACGGCTTCTCCAATGGTTTCGTCGAAGACATCATAAGAAGGAAAGTGAAAAGCCATGCAACCTCTGAAGAGACAACTAACACAACACCTATACCCCCTATTAGACTATTTTACAGGAACTTCTTTTCCACAGCTCATAAAACGGAGGAAAGGGTCCTGAAAGATATTGTTAATAGAAACGTTATCCCTACAGACAAAAATCAGAGGATACAACTGACGATTTACTATAAAACCAGAAAAACGGCCAGCCTACTCATGAGAAACTCTCCAGACACAAAACAGAACGCTTTAAAAGAGACTAACGTCGTCTATGCCTTCAAATGCCCACTTGGGGACTGTAAGCTCCAAAAAACCCAGTATATAGGCAAGACAACAACATCTCTTTCTAGGCGTTTAACGATGCATAAGCAACAGGGCTCCATTAAGGAACATATAATCTCTTCCCACAACCAAACCATCGCCAGAGAAATCCTAGTAAACAACACAGAAATCATCGATAGATACAGCGATAGCAGGCGGCTTGACGTTTGCGAGGCACTACACATCAAGAAGTCAACACCAGCAATCAACAGCCAATTATTGCACAACTATATTCTACCCACCTCAAGACTCCGCTCCAATATAGAAGCATCAAGAAATATGGACCAATAGGGTTTCTACAAACACTTCTATTCAATATCCATTGTTTCGTGTTCTGTCTTGTGTTGATGAAATTAATACCCTATTAATACTCTTGTTCTGTCTTGTGTTGATGAAATTGATACCCTATTAATACCACATTTTGTTCTGTCTTGTGTTAATGCCACATCACCCCTTCCACCTCACTCAAATTTAGATATAAAATCGGAGATACGTAAGTTCTATTCAGTTGTGTATTTGTGAACTAAAGTCTTTGAAAATGTAATAAGTTTTACGAAACGCGCCCGTGTCGCGTCAGACTAGAAATAAAAATGAATTTTGGAGAATTGATTTTTGATTTACCTCCAACAGTGAAGCGTAATGTACGAAAGATTGAGAAAATTCGTGTTAGAATTATTAATCTTACTTTTTCGGTCATATTTAATAATATATGTCTACAGGAAAGACTGCTACCAAAATATACTAATATGTATATATATATATATATATATATATATATATATATATATATATATATATATATATATATATATATATATGTATATATATATATATATATATATTGGTGTATACTGGCAGCAGGTTTTCTTTCAAACAAACTCCTAACTCCCACAGGCAGGGGAACGGGCCTGCACTAAACAGCGGGGAAAGAAGACCCTGTTGAGCTTGACTCTAGTCTGAGCTTGACTTTTGAACTCCTAACTCCATACACTCCAAGTAAGTTTAGTCTACAATCATCAGCAGATTTCCTAGAATTGATCAAATCTACCCAGCCCGATGGAATCATCGCTTCCCTGGACGTTGAATCCCTATTTACCAACGTCCCAGTCGACACAACCATAGCAATGATACTGGACAGAGTATACAGAGACGAGAGCACCCCCAAATTAGACATACCTGAGCCACACTTGAAAAGTCTTCTCCAAGCATGTACAAAGGAAGCCCCTTTCATCAGTCCACAAGGAGACATGTATTTACAAATAGACGGAGTAGCAATGGGCTCCCCCTTAGGAGTTTTATTTGCTAATTTTTATATGGGAACCATCGAAGATAGGGTCTTCAGTAGCAGACAAAAACCAACTGTATACTGCCGTTATGTAGATGACATATTCGTAATAGTAAAAGACTCAGATGAACTAATTGACCTAAAAAGACACCTAGAGAGAGAGTCAGTACTCCGATTTACACATGAAAATAGTGAAAATAACAGTCTGCCATTCTTGGATGTACTAATAACAAAAACAGGAACCTCTTAAGCACTAACGTATATACCAAGCCCACCAACATAGGATTATGCCTGAACGGTAGAAGTGAGTGCCCCCAAAGATACAAAGCCAGTGTTCTCAATGCTTATATTCGTCGAGCGCTTACCCACTGCTCTGAATGGAGCAACGTGAGTAGAGAGTTTGAAAGAGTAACTCAGGTATTGGTGAACAACGGATATAGCAACGCGGAAATAAACGCTGCTATAAGAAGACACTTGGACCGTTGGTATAATTCAGAACCTAGAACAGAAACCACAACACCCCCAATAAAATTATATTACAAATCAACCATGCACAGTGAACATATAAAAGAGGAAAGAATAATGAAAGAAATAATCCGTAAAGGAGTAAAAAGCACTACTCCTAACCAAAACATAAACCTGATAATATTCTACAAAACCAAGAAGACTTCCGAACTCCTTATCAAAAACAGCCCGAAGCCGACGGAGAACCCTCTACAGCAGTCAGCGTTGTATACATGTACACTTGCCCCCACGAAGGATGTAACCTTCAATGTAAGTACATAGGTATGACGTCGACCAAGCTGACGAGGCGTTTGACATGCCATCTTCAATCTGGTGCCCCTAGGAATCACATGAGACAAGCCCATGACATTACTCTAACAAGAGAAATGTTGAACAAGAATACTTGCATAATAGACAAAACCCAAGATTCAAGAAGATTACAAATTCTTGAGGCAATTCACATAAGAATAGAGCGACCTACCATGAACACCCAAATCACGGAACTATTTACTCTACCCACCATGAGAGTAAGGACAAGACAAGAACATATCGATGCCAACACAGAAGACAATGTCCAACATAACAGGCCAATTACACTGGATTAATCTTTGTGTTTAGATAGGAGATGCCTCGTATGGGCCAATAAGCCTTCTGCAGCCTCTATGTTTCACCTCACATTTATCCCTTATGTATCCCCCCATGTTTTTCACCTTCATTGTATTATCACCCGACCTAATGTGGGTATAAAATCAACTAGTATTGTAAGATCTGTTCACTTAAGAATGAACCATGGAGGTTCGAAACGTCGTGCAAATTATACAAATAAGTGTAATACACTCTATAGTAAATCACTTCTTTTCTTCACCTTAAAAGTACGAAAATGAGTTTTGGAGAACTCCTATTTCAATTAAGCCCTGATGCTAAGAAAATAGTTAGAGGGATAGAAGCCCTAAACCAGAAAATAATAAATACAGAATATGCGGTCATATTCAGTGAAACATATATATATATATATATATATATATATATATATATATATATATATATATATATATATATATATATATATACATACACATTGTGACGGTGTTACCCCCTTATATTTCTCCCACGCCTGCTGTAAGAGTCATGTCCACTTTACCCGAGCGTTCTCTACGTCGCAGGCATCAGTTTGATATATGTGGGAGAGTGTAGTGTTCTCGCGTTGGCGAGAAATTCGAAAAAGAAAAGTATTTTGGCCTGTTGTTTAGGCCCTTCAGGATGCCAATATGGCGCTGGCCCCTCCGTTTTGCCGCCAAAACTTTGTGACGTCAGTGGCACCAGATTGGTCACTGACAGTGACGTGGCACAGGGAGCCAATGAAAACCGCCCCTGGCAAGTATGACGTCACAAAGGCAGGAGGGTTCGGAGATCGCGCCTCTTTGGCACCACCAGTCTGAGGCGACACGTTGACAAGGTCGGACGTGCGAAAGTTGGTCCTGTCAGTTTGACAGTTGTACCCCGCTCCCATGGATTTTATGCGTCACATGTAGTCTGCAAGTACTCTGTAAGGTCTTCCTTCAAAAAGTGGGCATATCACGGTAAACTAAACGTTGTTCAATTTGTTTATAAATTTATTTGTGAAATGGATATAGAGATGGCTGCAACTGGTCCAAGTTTCAGCATCACACCCTAAATAGAAAAGGAGAAAAAAATACACAACGTATTATGCAACGAATTTTCAACATTTTCAAATAATGTCAGGGAACACATGTGTCAACTAAAATCATTTCTATAACACTCATATATTAAAATTTGCATATAATAAAGGATTGGTGAGAGCAGTTTTATTAAAAAAGTGTTTAGTGCAATAATATAATTATTCAAAGTTACCCTTTCAAAAATATGCAATATATGACGTTTATAAATTTTTATAAAATCAACAAATGGACTTTGGACTATAATATCTACATCGGGCTGTAGAAGCACAAACTCTACATATAAGGTGTAATTTGCATGTAAATTGATTAATAAATGAAAGCTATGACGTACCTTGAAGTTGTAAATTATTTACCTGAGTAAAAAAGATCAAAGTTTGGCCACCTGTAGCTGAGCTTGACGTCTATCGATTTCGTTCATAATTGGCACCCTTGCAGATAGGCATCCGTTGAGCAAGGTGTGCAAGTTCCATGCAAATCCCCTGATAACAAACGAAAAAAAAAATTGAAACAAATTGTAAAAAAAAAAAAAAAAATATTATATATATATATACAAAGAGACCTAAAGAGAATGCAGGACAGGATTGACAAGATTGATGCCCATGATGCTCTCTTTCTCCTTACAAGATGCCTGTCTCTCCCTAAGTTGACCTACTTTCTGAGATGTTCTCCATCCTACAGCAGCCCTAAGTTAAATGTGTATGACACCCTTCTGAGGTCCATGCTGGTGAAAGTCCTGAACCAGCCATTGGACGACTCTCAGTGGGAGCAAGCAACCCTTCCTGTAAGACTCGGCGGCCTTGGTGTCCGCACAGCCTCCCAAATTGCTCTACCAGCCTTCCTTTCCTCCTCTCATGCATCGCACGACCTCGTCAGAGATATTTTACCTGCAACCCTGAGAGATTCAGCAGGAATACACGATCCTGCTTTCACTGAATGTTCAAATCAGTGGAATGTTCTTGCAGCCCCAGCAACCATTATAGAGCCAACAAAACAACACAAACAGTCCAGCTGGGACCACCCTCTAGTGGAAAAAGTAGCTGATGCCATGCTAAGCGTCGCAACATCAGACAAGGAGAAAGCCCGCCTCAGAGCAGTGCGTGCCCCCCATGCAGGAGACTTCCTCCTGGCAGTACCCATGTCTGCAATGGGCACGCGCCTAGATCCAGAATCCCTTCGTGTAGCAGTGGCCCTCCGCCTTGGTGCCCCAATTCACACTGAATACAAGTGTATTTGCAACAGGGTGGAAGCAGACCAATACGGACTGCATGGGTTGCATTGCGGAAGCACAAAGGGCTGGCATGCAAGACACAACGAGGTCAATGACATCATCAAGAGAAGCCTCGTCTCAGCTGGGTGCCCAGCGGAGAGAGAACCTCGCATCCTAGGGGTCCAAAACCCGGATTTCCCAGCACTTCGCCCTGATGGCATCACCATATACTCATGGAAGGAGGGTAGACAGTTGGTGTGGGACTACACATGTGTATCCACCCTGGCTGACACCTATGTACACTTCGGAGCTGATCAAGCAGGTGGGGCGGCCAACCACAGGGAAACAGCAAAATCACTCAAGTACAGGCGACTGGAAGGTCAATACCTCTTTGTTCCCATAGCGTCTGAGACGCATGGCCCCTGGGGCAAGAGTGCCTTGGGATTTCTCAAGGAATTGGGGTCCAAGCTCATTGACGTCACCAGAGACCCAAGGGCTTCCAGTTTTTTATTTCAGCGTCTCAGTGTGGCGATCCAGAGGGGAAATGCTTGCTGCGTCCTCGGTTCCTGTCCAGAAGCGGAGGAGCTTCAAGAGATCCATAACCTTTAGGCATTTGTCTTGTATGTTTTGTAACCTTTAAATACACAATAAAGGAAAAAAAAAAAAAAGGGAAGGGGGTGGTAGGAGAAAAGCACACAGAAACTGTATTGGAGGGGACCCACATTCCCTCCAATGCGTTATGTGTGGTTTCCTCCGAGGCTATGGGTCCCCCTTCTTCCAGCCAGAGGTGGTACTCCCTTCCCTATTATATATATATATATATATATATATATATATATATATATATATATATATATATATATATATATATATATATACATATGTATATATATATATATATATATATATATATATATATATATATATATATATATATATATATATATATATATATATATATATATATATATATATATATATATATATATATCCTGCACATACATATTACAATTATTACCAAATATCATATTATAACACTAAAACATACTAACCTATTGAAATTGGTCCGAATTGTGGGCCCTCAAGGTAGCACTGCAATGTGTGAGGAAGGTTGAGGAGGTGTGTGAGGAAGGATGAGGTGGTGTGTGAGGAGGTGTCGGTGCACCACCATCTCTCACTGGATATTACTCTTCTTCGTGCTAAAGCGGCTTTCTTTTACTGATAAAGACGGCGACCGAGTGCCAGATTTGCTGCTCTTATCTTCTGGCACTATCTCTTTATAAGAGTTTGTGCAGTAGACGCAACAATGCGCTATTCCAGGAACGATAATTGAGCGCGCGTCAAAACAGTCCGCACTCAATCGGAAACACGAGGTGACTGGGGACTGGGACCTCCCTATGGCTCAACTAGGGATGAGAAGGTTGCCAATGAGTGTATATTTACTCCTTATGCATACATCGATATTTACGACGTTATTACGAAAAATTTGACGTTTAGATCGCACGACGCAATACCTTTGGCGTGCCACAGCCGCGATGCACCGGATTCTGACCAATTACGCATGGAAATGTACTATAAATACGTCAATTTATATCGTAAAATAATTCTGATTGCACCAGAGTGTTGCCAGAACTACGTAGTATTTTGATAAATATTTCACAATGTTACGATTTTTCCCGAATTTTTTAGTTATATGTCCCCTTCATTCCATGTGTTGGACCGAAGAGGGAATCGACAGAATATTGAGCAACAAGTGCTCCAGGGAATATTGAGCAACAAGTGCAAGAAGAATTGAAGTCTGTGCAGTGACGTATGTAACGTCCGAGACAGTTCACCCATCTAGTGACAACGTAGCGGCTGGGCCAGTCCACCGGGAAGCAGTGGGAGAAGAAAACTAATTGGGAATCAGGGCGACTGCAGCCGAGAAGTAGGTTGGCAGCTGCAGTTGTGAGGAGAAGTCGATGGCCGGGAGACCGACTCCAACCCTTCAAGAAGTTGTGGAGGAGCACGGACCTGCAGAGAACAGAGCATGGGGACGACGCATTTATTGTGGGATATTGATTGGGTTCCTGGAGAGAGCATCAGTGTGTGTGTTTGGGGGTTCCCTACAACGAGGCGAGAGCCAGGACCAGGAGCAGCAATTCAACTCTCATCGGAGGGCGAGTCCACATCAGTGAGGTGGAAGTAGGTGATTCTAGTTTCCCTCCCAATTCCCCTTTAGTCAGCTATATATTTAGCCAGAGTATCTTTCATGTTGTGAGCAAGGCTCACTTATGTCTATGTCACAGTAAGGCACAGTTGTGGAGAGTGAGGCTGTGAAAGCCCTCATGATATTTATATATGTGGTGTGTGCAGGCACCTGGAATTATTGAAGAGTTTACTGTGTCGTTGATGATTTCTTTCATGTGACATTAATATGATAACTTATGTCAGATAATATATATTGTGTACCAGTTATTGGTGTTAGGCTGTATGCCCAGTATTTATCTTATTATTATTGATATTGATGAATTGATCGATATATATGTATATGTTGGTGTGTTGAATAACATTTCCATGTGTGCAGTGATTAATTGTGTTATCGCCCTCGAAAGGAATTACTGAGTCTGAAGCCAGTATCGTGATTTAATTGTATGTGTTATCATTAGTATGATCTGCCGTGTATAACGCCTTTATAGTGAGATATTGTGTTTGTTGCTGTGGAAATTATTTATTGAACTCGAGATCAGTGTGGTGATTCATTGCATTCTATTGCTATTATAGAAAATATTGTGTTGATTACAAACATAGTGATCCCTGCGAATTTAAAGAATCAGGTGCTTAACGCCAAAGAAACAAGTACATAAGCATTCACACGGTGAGTGGGGCTGCCCAGCTGACATTGACAGGAAGGGGAGTGTTGCCCTCTAGACGAGCCCCAGTTTTATGAAGAGAGAGTGACTTCCTGCATGTGCTTGATGTTTCATTGTTGATATGGATATAATACCTTGAAGTTTTTAAGTAAAATACAAAATACCTTCGCATTTGTATTATCTCTCCATATATCTTGGTGCTATAGAACAGTTCCAAAGAGTGAGAGTGTTAGAGACATATACCTGCCTGTGACCAGATTTAACGAGTGAGCTCTCTGCCACTAGTACCACAATTCCACAATACCACTGACGTGTTACTGGACACAGGAAACACCAGTTGGCGACCTTGCAGTTAGTAGTAGAGCCCTTGTCAGGGTGGGCACACAGGTGGGAGAGAGCAAACTGTGTTCTCACTCGTCTTTGGCTATAAGGCCAGCTGGAGATAGACTGGGATACTCTGCTGGTGAACAGTGGCGCCGCGAGGATTGAGTGAAGACCCGCAGGGCTACGGTGAGTAACAGTTGTCGTTAATACTACTGGGTGGTGTCTATGTAGAGAGAGAGACCCCGACGTTGGCGACCGTTGACAGGATATCAAGAACGGTTACTTATACTTATACTGACAACTAAGGTATTGACATTGGCATAGACATAGACATTGGCGATCCTGCCAGGTGTCCGGGATAAAGATCTGGTGTACACTGTTACTCGCCCCTCGTATTCCCCGACAATATTTATATACATGCGGCCGTGGCAGGCGGACACGTGGAGGATGCTCCATTGTTTTCTGAGCCATTACCTAGTGACATCCTGACGTCACCGTGCTTAGCCTTCACAGGGTGCTGTATGAATGTCCTGGGAAGGTGCAAGAGTGGCGGGAAGTGCCTAGAGTGAACCAGGGATGAGATGTTGTTATGCGGTTAGGCGAAAGGGATGGGGGGGTCACCCGTGTGCCACCCAGTATATATAGAAATTTGTTAGGGGGAAATAAAAACCTATATCAGCATTCATTTTTAGAGTTAATCGAGCTCACAGTGTGTTAGATTTCAGGTATATATTTCATTCACCATTGTGCAGTGATATACTAGGAAACTGTACTAGTGTTTAAGTGTCACACTAACCCCCTTCCCCCACTCAAGCCGAGGGGTGTCCGGTCACAGCCACCCCCTTCTCCGCCTGTCTCACCGCACCACTGTACATCCTGCCACCACACCACTCCGCCCACCCTGCGCCCGAGCAGCTCCCACCCACCCATTCACCACCCACACAGTGCTTGTTGCAGAGATGTGTTACCCTCCATGCACTCAGACATGTCACAGGTCACAGCAAGCATTCAGGTTCCTACCAAAAGGGAGGGAGACACAAGTACTCACATAAGTGGTGAGTGCGATGGACAGCTAACAACCCTTCCCCCCCCCCCTCTTACATTACACACGTGTCCACCCTCCCACGCCACGCCCGCCCAGGGCCCGCCGATGCCTCAGCTCGCCCGGGTATGGAGGGGACTGCTACAACTAACCTGGAACCCCTTAGTCAAGAACACGGTCCTGGGAACAATGAACCCAGACGTTCACCCTGAGATGCAAATAGAGGTGCACCCAGACAACCCAGAGGAACGTGTCGAGTTTGTGACGAATCTCACAGCCTTAGAATCGATGGAACCCTACGCGAACACAACGGTTGTGAGGGTTCATGGACAGAACCGTGTAAAGAGAGAAGGCCCACAGGTCCTCCAGGCAGCCCCACATATCCCAGCAAAATTCATGTTATCTAATGACCTCCTGGGGACAATCAAAGCATCCACCACTAGAACTCTTTCCCACATTCCAAAAGCAGCACGCCCAATTGCAGCAGGGAAATATACAGATCTTAGGAAAGTGAACGAATGGTCTGCAAACCTTAATTCCGCGGCCACCATTAAAGCATGGCATAATTTGCACCTGTTTAGCAATATCTGCTTAGGCGTACCTGCAAGAGGAGGCAAGTCGCTAGCCTCATCAGTCACTAGGGCAATAAATAATTTCCCCAGAGCTGACAACTTGATCCCCATCCCTCCTCAACGCAAAAGCTGACTTGGTTGACCGAAGAGTTCCAATGACAATTTTAAGCTAGGGAACACAAGTTACCCCAAAAAATTAATAGGGTAACACAATAGGGACAATTCGGTCTCTAACCAGTGACGACACAATCGCACCTAGAAATGCTGCTACTGCCGACTCACTGAACGAGAAGCACCCTCCCAGAGTACCATGGGAACCCACTACTCAGAACACAAATGTCCTAGACACAGGACCTCTTTTCATCCAAGCGTCAGAAGTGTACCAATCTATCATGTCATTACTGCCAGGCTCAGCATGGGGATACACTGGAGTAAAACCTCAGCATTTCAAGGAGATGGCAAACCCAGTTCTCGGCGAAATTGCTGGGCCACTACTGTGAAAGGTCACGAAGTTTGTCAACAATTGCCTCACTGAGCTGATTCCAGATACAGTTATACCCTTCTTCTTCTTCTTCTTCTTCTACTTCTTCTCCGGAGCATCCCTTTTTGCCCTTAAGAAGAAGGATGGTGGAATCAGACCCATTGCCATGGGTAACACACTTCGGTGCCTCGTTGCCAAGGCAGCTATCAGAAACATCAGCATGGAAGCTGCAACGAAGCTTCGACCCCATCAACTAGGTATTAGTGTCCCCCCATGGCTGTGAAGCAGCAGCTCATGCAGCACGAGCCTATATTAGGCACCTCCCAGAAAATAATTAACTAGTTAAATTAGACTTTAAAAATGCCTTCAACCAGGTAAAAAGAGGTGTGGTACTGGAAGAACAATTATTTGCATGTTTCCATTGTGTAGGCAACACTCCACTTAGGAATGATTTGTTAAACAGGTGGAGTAGTGGATTTCCAAACACTTCACACAATGCATTGAGTATGTCATTGGTGACGCCATCTTCACCAGGTGCTGTATATTTACCCTTTTTCATAGCGCCCCTTTACTTCCTGGGCTGTGATTGGTACCCCATACTCGTCATCACTAGATTGTGCTCTTGTTATCCTAATCCTTCTGTCATTATGTCGCAGGAGCTGTTCCCTGCTTACTTCTGCAGGGAGGGAGGAGGAGGAGGATGCATCACTCCATTTGTGTATTAGTTCTTCAGCCTTACCCTGAGGGTCTTTGTGAGCCGCAGGCCGGGCCCTGTCCCTTTAGCTATCTGAATTTTTGCCCAAACTTGTATTGCAGATGTTTCCCGTCCAATAGAGCTAGTGAATTCAAGTCATTATCTTTCCCGCTCTCTAATCTTCTTTTCCCTGGCTACTTGACACACAGTTTTAAATAGCACTTGGTTACTTTCAGTAGGATGCCTCCGGAACTCTCTACTCATGCTCCTAACATTTGCATTGAGCATCTTTATGTAATCGTTCTCATGCCATTATATTTTCTTCTTCTGGGGGTTACTGCGCCCAAGCGTACGGCGCGGAACTCGGAGACAGTGCTCTATTTGGTTATTAAGGTCATCAATAAATGT